TAATTACGCGCGTTTAAAGATGATGATCGCGTGTATGTAAGATGAGTTGTCGTCGACGCTCGCGTAGGTTTTTTTGTTTTTTTTTCGTTCGGAACGTTTGATCGTCGTCGTTTTAGGGCTTTTCTTATTATTATTATTTTTTTTTTTTGTAAATTTGACTTGGGGGCCGTTTAGGGCGTTAACCGTTTACTACGAAAAGCTGTCGGTGTCGCCAAAAGTTTCTAGGCGTATTTAAAAAAAAAAACCAAAAATTAAAGTTGGCGAGTATCCACGAGAAAAAAACCGTTTTCGGGGGAGAAAATTACGCCTTCGAGACTTGTACGAAAATGTCATTGATTGATTTCGATAGAATTAATATATATCTATTATTAACGTTATTATTATTATTATTATTAACGTTGGGTTTTTTTTTCTTTCGGTGAAAAAGAAATTTTTTTTTCTCTTTAATTTCGTTATTTTACATTCATTCATTTTTCGTTCGATTAAATTCGAAGAATTAAAATAAATGAAATAAAAAAAAAAATTTTTTTTTTAAACACGTTATAAAGTTCAAAGATTAAAGAAAAGAAAAATAAGAAAAATTCTAGAATAAATTTTTTTTTATAAATTTCAATTTCGATTCATTTATTATTATTATTATTATTATTATTATTATTATTATTATTATTATTATTATTATTATTATTATTATTTTCTCCTTTTTTTCCTTGTGGTTTCTCTCTCTTTCTCTCTCTTTCTCTCTCTCTCTCTCTCTCTCTCTCTCTCTCTCTCTCTCTCTCTCTCTCTCTCTCTCTCTCTCTCTCTCTACATATATATATATATATTTGAAAGTCAGGCTAAAGTTCTTCTTATCAAAGGCAATAATAATTTCTAATCGGGAAAATAAAAATTATTATTATTATTATTATTATTATTATTATGCCAAAGGAAAATCGTAAAAGAAGATGGGTATAATAAATAACGAATTTTTTTTTTCTTCAATAAAAAAAATTAACAATACGATTATTATTATTATTATAGTTTACTAAAAAAAAAAATGGCGGAAAAGAATTGATTCATCGCGTGAATGATGATAATAATAATAATACGACGACAACGTAAATTTTTTTAATGATAAAATATACGTTTACGCGTCAATCACTCGCACACACACAATCGCGAGGAAAAAACGAGAAAGCCACACACACACACACGCACGCACGCACGTTCGCACACGCAAGATAATGGACTCTTATCAGCAGCAAGTCATTGATAGAAAATTAAAAAGGAAAGAATCGGGTGACTACGCGTTATTTATTCGGGAGAAAAAAACAGGAACGACAGGAAAAGGAGGAACAGAGGATGGATATTCTGGAATGTGAGAAAAAATTTTAATTTTTTCAAACACGTACGAAATAAATTAATTCACGATGAAAAAAAAAAAAGTGCGTGTCGTTTTACACGCACTCACGCACGCACGCACGCAAGCTTGACTTGGCACGTCCGACGTCTGACGACCGCGCATATGGTGCCGTCTTGCGAAACTTGTCGTGAGCTTTTCCCATTCATTCAAACAAGATTGATTTGTCCTTTTTCTTCTTCTTCTTCTCCTTCGTGTCGTGTCGTAGACGACGACGACGACGACGACGACGACGACGTCTGACATGATTCGGTCAATGAGATGATAATATAGAGGACAACATAATCCGATAGGTGAATGAATAAATTTTTAAACCTGGAAACGAACGTTCATTTTATTATTATTATTGTTATGGATCTCGTTCTTCGAGGAAATCGGTGTTGCTGATTTTGCAGTATACTCGCAGTTGATTTGGATGTTCAATATAATAAGTAGACAATTTCTACCTGATGTATTATATTAACCAAATATACTACTAGTTACACTACTTATCAGTAAAAACACTAAATGTAAAGTAAACGGAAATAGAATATGATGCTCTTGAATCCAACCTAAGATGCACTGACTGTCCCCAACGCTATGCGATAGACACAACCAGGCAGACTCTGACTGACGGACGGATGTCGAAAGAACAAAATGTGGTGCCGAGGCCCACTATTTATATGAAGACCAAAACAATCGATGCATCTGTTGCACTTGAAGAAGTTAATTAGTCAATCATCCCCTTCTTAAGGGATGAATATAATCCTTGCTCGTTAATCCAACTTAATGGGAAAAACGTGATCTTAGAACGTTGAGAGAACAAATAAATGTTCACATTAAATAAATCATATTAATATTAAACAGATGCCCTCGTTGGTGATCAGATTTCGTTGGGATCACAACACCTTCCCCCTTAAAAGGAAACAAATTTTTTTTTATATTAATTAGGTTAAAATTTGTTTTTGTTTTTCTTGAACTTTTTGGTAATTTCTCTTCTTTTCTTCTTCTTGTTTATTCTTTGATTGATTAGACTCATTTTTAAATCTTAAGCACTCTTCAGGTGTATCTTTGTGTAATCCCTTTGTGAGAATCTTGATTTTACAAGATTTTAGCGAAGACATATGCGTTACTTTTTCGCATAGATATTCCAAGTGAGTTGTCAGTCCAGACAAAT